AGGGCACTACACTGAAATGGGTTTCTGTAGTCAGGACCTGAACTGACATTTCTGCACTGTACAGATTCAATGCAAGGGTGCAGTGCAACCTTCTTGAAATATTACTTAAATTATAAATCTGAAGAGAAACTGGGTTGCCAAACTGGCCTGCAGCATCTTCAAGAGACAGACAGGAGGTTGCTGCTGGTACATTTTAAAATCAATTCATACAGCAGACACGCAGATGCACCACAAAAGGATGGAAGGTTACTTCTGAGGTGACAATTTAATATGCTCTCATATATCAAGCTTAATTAAAAACACTTAAAAAAATACCTTGTCTCCTTTAACTCCTGGGTTTCCTGGTACCCCATGCTCTCCTGGTAAGCCCTGGAATTAATAAAAACATAACTGTACATTTTTATAGCTATTCCCTTAAAGGTTATTTAAAATTACAGATGAAAAGTAGCTTACACTGGATTATTTACTATGCATTAGTATTGACACCAAATGTTAAAGAGTATAAGTTAATGAATGCTTCTTTAATGAAATACATGAATCATTTTTCTTTTAGTTGAAATGTAATAATCAAGATTATTTTCTGGATCCTCTCAGGGCAGAATGGCAGAGACTAAAAGGTTTATTTCTTCTATTTCAAAAGTCTTGAAAAATCAATAATTTTTTTCAAGGAAGGCAGTAGCACATAAAAGCCTGAGATTTAAATAAGTGTCTCATCTTTTTTTGCCCATAAAGGTCTGCATGACTTCCTACATCAGATGATTATTCAAATTGGTATCTTAAAAGCCTCAGTGAATTCCCACTCCTGCACATTACTTAATCCAACAAATTCCTATAAAAGGTTTTAGATATTTAATGGACAGTCAAAAATTTTCAGCAAATAAAATATGTTGTACCCTTTCTTTTGCCTAAGTATTTTCATCTTTTACATTTTGATTTTAACGTCAGTATTTTCCCTTTTCTTTTTCATTAAGGATTTTTATAAATGCAGAGAAAAAAAAAGATTAAAATCTAAATAAAATCTATTTAAATAATAAAGAAGTCTTAATTGGGTTCTATTACTATGTTGCAACAAATACAGAAAACTTTTTCCATGACCCTTCAAAGTTATTCAATCAACTGTTCAGTCAAGTGTTTTATTATTACCAGTAATTTTCACAGTAAAAGATAAAATAGCCCAAACTGAAAAGTAACATCTAAGTCTGAAACTTAAGCTGGACTGGAAAATGAACTTTCTAAGAAAAAGACAAAGAAACACATATTGTTTTAATTTTTCTTCACAGAGTAAAATACACAGCTTTGTGAGCACTGACATATGAAGGATGACAACATTTTCATGCCAGGAGTGAAGGTCCAAGAACTGTGTGTTTTTAATACAGACAGCTGCTTGTTTCACCCAACCACCCAAATTAAAAGCATAAGAAAGAAAAAAAGGTACCCTAACGAAGAATATTCTGCTTATACGAAGATCAAATCAGTGTAAAAATATATGGAATTTTAAATTTACTGATTATGGATCAGACATCATGGTCTAGTCTATTCCCAACTCTTCTACAATTTCTTTTTTTTTCTTTTTTTGTTGGACCAAGCTTGAGCGATTTCTTAGGAAAAGACATAAGTCTTCTCTGATGGATGACTCTTCAATGATGTAAGTGAAAGTAAAACAATTTTCAACCTTTCACAATTTTCATCACACTGCATAACATTGCTGCATATATTTGTTAATCCAAAATGTTTAATTTTTCGAAGATAAAACAAGACTGGAAATAAACACATGTCTCTATAATATATGAACTCAAGTAGGATGGTGGCAACACAAGCAAGAGAGAAGTGCAGTATGTAGTTATTTTTCATAGTAGGATTGGGGATCTATACATAAATAGAAGCACAGCAGATGAGGCTTATAAACTACTGTATAAATGATATGTACATTAGACACAATTGAAAAAATGTGTGCCAAATGGAGCAAGAAAATAAGGTATAAAGAAATGGTCAATAAGTAACCCAGTAGAAAATAACTACATGAAGATTTGTATACTAGTATTTCTATCTTCTGCCAGGAGCTGAAGATTCTGTACTCCAGTTGTCACTTTCCTTACATTCCTTAGACTTTTTACAGGTCAACGATAAAAAGTCTGCCAGCTGTGTATGCCTTAGAATGGTATTCTAGTATTAAAAAAGTACATGACATAAAAGTTTGTTCAAAATAAGAGTTTCTGTTGGTAGCTTCTATTCTGCTAGGCTAAACCTAAGCTCTCCACTGCCTACTTTTTTTGATCCAGTTCTTGGACCTAACCACTCAAATTTCCAAAATGCTACTTAAAAGCCATATTATGGTTTATGGAGGAAGGCAGGTGCAAGAACTAAGAAGAGGGGGTAGGTGCCACTTTTTTAGGTAATGTGACACCACCAGTGTCATGGACTGAAACCTAATTTCAGTTTACATGGAGGATTAGGCAGAACATAGTTGCCTGCACACCTAAAGAGGGATTGTGCTGTAATTTGGAAGGGAAACAGGCAGCCACGTTCCCAGAAGAGGCTTCTGCTATATTAGGGTTTTCAGTCAAATGCCCAGGGAACTTTCAAGTTTAGTGTAATGGTCCTTAATAGTTTAAGATGTTTCCTAGAGAATCCGGACTGGATTAACATTTCACCCATGCTCTTCCTGCCCAGATGCACGAGTGTTACAGGTGTTCTGGATCTTCAGGGAGGTGCCTACCAGTTTGAGAAATCTCAACCAGCCAGCAGACCCACCAGCCTGTTGCCCAGTGGCATTATAGTTACAATTACACTAAAGTAGAAAATGTCTGTGAAGAAGACCCTTATCACCTCAACAAACCCCAATCCATTGGCAGACCTGGATGTGGGGCACCCAAAAGCATTATAACTACAGGAACATTCAGACTCTGCTTAGACATACCACTGTTTGACATTCCCAACCCACCACTTTTGCACTCACAGACATAAAGGTTAAGGGCACACTGCACCTCTGGTGAGCCTTAGCCAGTAGCACCTGCAGCTGGTAATTGTGAGAAGGTGCACAACACAAATCAAGACAACTTTGTGCCCAACCATCCTGGTCAAGTAACAATCTCCCTGCTGGAAAGGGAAGTGAGGACATCACACTAACACGGGAAAGAGCGAGAGATAATCAGGAAGGGTAAAAGACCTCAATTCAGAGGTTCTTAAATAAATCCCAATATCCAGATCCACTTCAGGCTTCCAAATGGTGTTGGAAGCAGGATACAGATGATTTATTTATTAAGATAAAGGCCTGCTGAGGGAGGCATTCCATCCATAACCCATCATCCCTATAGTACCACCCACGAAAGGAGCACCCATGACAACTTCTGTGGCACTGTTCCACTGGCTATCTGTTCACACACCCCACTGCTACAGCTCGGTGAAACTGCACAGTACATACAACTTCTCCTGGCAGTCCCCTGGGTCCAACAGGTCCTGGAGGGCCTTGCAGTCCCTGTGAAATGATATAATACAGGTAAAAGTCAATACATTACTGTAATTTGGTGTAAAGCATACTTATATATAAATAGATTAAAACATGAGGCATTAAGAATTATCTTCCACATGAAGTAAGAAGTAGAGTTTGCTCATTGTCCCTTACTCTAATGTTCAATAAATCTTGGGGACTGATATGTACAAAACCCAAAGTAGGTATACAAAGCAAATACAAGTCAATACCAAGGCAACACCCAAAGGGTAAGACATAAGAAAAGAATAAATCAAGGTTTCAAGAATCATTTTTAAGACAACAGTTTTGTGGATTCTATAACCACATCCATTATCACTGGGCTTTCTTTTGATGATCTAAAATTTGGGTACTATCATATCTAACATGAATAGTGTGGGGTGGAGGTGGTTACATTTTAACAGTTTCCAATTCTACCCTTATTTGATACAAGGCATCATGAGAGATTCTCAAGAATATTTGTGCTTCAGCTACTTTCCTCACAGAATCACGCAATCACAGAACAGGTAAGACTGGAAGGGAGCACAGTGGGTCATCTGGTCCAATCTCCCTGCTCAAGCAGGGTCATCCTAGAGCACATTGCACAGTTTCTTGAGTATCTCCAATGAGGGAGACTCCACAACCTCTCTTGGTAATCTCATTCCAGTTCTCAGTCACCCACACAGTAAAGAAATTCTTTCTCATACTCAGGTGGGGCTTCCTGTGCAGCAGTTCTTGCCCATTGCCTCTCGTCCTGTTGCTTTGCATCACCAAGAAGAGCCTGGATCCATCCTCTTGACACCCTCCCTTCAGATACTTAAACAAATTGATGAAGTCCCCTCTCAGTCATCTCTTCTCAATGCTGAACAGGCCCAGTTCCCTCAGCCTTTCCTTCTAAGAGAGGTGCTCCAAACCCTTATTCATCTTTGTTGCCCTCCACTGGACCCTCTCCAGGATCTCCATGTCTCTCTTGTAGAGAGACTGAGGAGCCCAGAACTGGACACAGCACTCCAGATTTGCCTCATTAGGGCTGAGTAGAGAGGTAGGACCACCTCCCTCAACCTGCTGACAATACTCTTTCTAATGCACCCCAGGATACCACTGGCCTTCTTGGCCACAAGGACACACTACTGGATCATGGACAGCTTGTTGTCCACCAGGACCCCCAGGTTCTTCTCTGCAGAGCTGCTTTCCAGCAGGTCAGCCCCAGCCTGTACCAGTGCATGCAGTTATTCCTTCCCCAGGTGCAGGACCCTGAATTGCCTTTGTTGAGTATCAGACGGTTCTTTGCCCATCTCTCCAACCTGTTGAGGTCCTTCTGAAGGGCTGCACAGCACTCTGGGTTATCAGCCACTCCTCCCAGTTTTGTGTCATCAGCAAACTTGCTGAGGAGGCAGCTACCCCTTCATCCAAGTAATTGATAAGTTAAAAAATACTGGGCCCAGTATTGAACCTTGGAGGACACCACTAGTGGCAGGCTTCCAACTGGACCCTGTGCTACTGCTCATGACCTTCTGGGATCTGCTGTTCAGTCAGCTCTCAGTATATCTCCACTGTCTTCTCATCCAGTCCACACTTCCTGAGTTTGCCTATGAGGACAGACTCAAAGCAAGACAATGACTGCTTTGACGTTACCTGCAGTCTCATAAGATTAAACAAAGGAACTGAAAAGTAGTAGTGGTAGTGGATACTCCTTACCTCATTGATGGATAAAGAGAATTCACCCAGTTACCAGTGGATTTTTAATTACAAAACGGGTCCTCATATTTCCTGAGTGACCAAACAACATTTGAGCTTTGCTTAATCATTCCTTTCTGAGTGATGCTGAGATCAACAGAACTTTATGTACAATGTAAATCTTATGTAAAACAGCCATAATTCAAGCACAGACTTTTGATACAAAGTATTTGCATTCTCTGTCCTTTAATATCAGCTAAGGAGTTGATAGCATTCAGAGTCCTCTTATATAATAGCGTAGAATGCACTTGCTGTTAATACCACAAAAATACCTTTCACCTACCTTTGATCCTGGATTTCCCATAAGACCAGGTGGTCCAGGGATTCCCACTTCACCCTAATGACATTGTTTGACAAAACAAAAAAATCCAAGGTTACTGTTATGTCTCCCAGTATCAGCTATGTGTATCAGCAATGTATATAGTATGTACAAGTCAGAAAATACCTTATTTCCTTTTGATCCCTGCATTCCAGTCTCTCCCTGAAAATAGTAGGCACAACCATAAGAAGTTAAAAAACTAAGATCAACTAAGAGTTTAATATGCTACCTTAAAATACTCTAACACAGTTTGCAAACTTAAACACTGAGAAAGGGTTAAAGAATTTCTGATGTTTTTTCTGCAAACTCTGAAAGGTATTCCTCTTTCAAACTAATTTTGTTTTCAGGTTTTCCTAATGTTTTAAAGAAAAAAATGTTTGAAAATACTACATTTGCATAAGAGCTTTTCCAGTCAAAAGCCTATTCTTCACTACAAAATCTCTTCTGGTACACAGTATTCACCTCCAAAACCACACGTTATTACAGTAAGCCTTATTTTGGTTATTATAACATGTTAATCACAAATATCTAAGCAACCTTAAGTTGTGTAATAAAAACAAGAACTAGCTTTTGACACGAAAGGGAACAATAATTAATTAAAAATAAATAACTTAGGTAAACAGATGTTTATAGAATGAGGGTTCTAAAAATATTCCCCAAAATAACAAAAAAGTTATGCACACATAAAACGGATGTATAAAAACTGCCTGATGTTAAATGCCACACTAGGAGCATAAAAATAATACAGTTCAGGCCACAAAAAAAATTGTGAAATAACTGAAAGAAAGAACCTTCACATAGAATAAAAAAAAGGTGTGTGCTTTAAACTCAGTTCATGGACTGTACCAACAACAAAAATGGTGAAGAACAGGGCATCTCTGTTTTTTATTTATAACCTGTGTAAGACAGGAGACAATACATATGCTATCCCATGTAATCCCTGAATCTAATGAACACATACAAAGAAAAGGAAATACATCATGAATATGGTAAGGGAATAATCTTGAATGTAAATTATTCACATCAGTTCAAAGCATTCTATACTTACTGGATCTCCCTTGTCCCCCTTTTCAGAAGGTTCTCCCTAAGGAAACATAGGGAAGATGTTAACGCAGATTTTAAAAAATGGTAAATAGTCCATATGTCTGGTTTTGTTGAAGAGTCCTTGGAAAACGTTGCATTTTTTAAAACCTATATAAAATACAAATATATGGACTACAAAAGTTTACTTGAAGGATAATGATGATGTTATGCCAAGACCATGGCATGTGGGATCCTTTCAAGCAGGAGTGCAAGGGAGGGAGAGGAACATGAACTAAAGAGAGTGATAATGCATCCAAAACTGAAAAATCCCCAAACACAGGTGCTCTATAGCACACAAAATCCCAAATCTGTGATATCGACAGTGTGAAAAAATATTTCTGCTTGTATGAAAACTATTATTATAGAAAGATATGACCAAAGAAACCAACTGGAAGCCTAACAGCTGAATAACAAAATGTCTAATAATCAGTGGATGAAGAACTGGGTGCATCACACATTCTTAGGAAAATACACCTCTTCCCCAATAATACCCCCATCTACCCCCTTCTCATTCTGGAAAATTTACTCTCAAACTAAAAGATACTAAATTAGAAAGTTAATTTCTAAATTTTAGTAATTTAAAGACTCACATTTTTTTCACAGAGATATTGAAGATCACATTTGTAACTTGAAAAAATATGAATGGTGCCTATTTTATGAGGCAGTCTCTGGTCATAAACTTATATAAACAATTTTAAACTGGTATTCAGTGAAAGTCTGAATGTGTTTAAAGTGAAGGACTTTGTGAACTGTTAGAAGAGGGAAATTTACTTGCACACATAAATACCCACCCAACATGGGGGGGGCTCGAATAAATAACAGATATTTAGAGAATGACAACTTTTTCTATGCCCAAATATATTTTCTGTTTTCCAAGATTTCACTAATAATCAGTAAATTTAGTCAACTTCTAGTATCACACAGGAGCACAGAAGTAAGGAATTAACTTACCTTTTCTCCTTTTGCACCAGTCATTCCCATTTCTCCTTTTTGACCCTTTTAACAAAATGAATCAATTTTAAAATCTTTTATATTCTGACAAATGGAGATAAACCTCTCCCTTTCTTTTCCTGTACTTAGTTCTATGTAAGCCACTTCTTAACTATTATTGCAATGGAAATCAAGCTTTCAACATGTCCAAATGAATTTAAATGACTGTATTCTATAGCAGATTTGCAGGCTTCTCCATAAAAACTATTGTCAGTTCTGTCACATAGCCAGAGCACTTGCCTCTTCTCTTACAAGTTTGGAACACATGCAATTGTTAAAAAAATCATTCCACTATTTACACAGGACAGATGACTATAAACAACATGCTGTCATATAGTGTGGATTCAGAATTTGACTTCCATGCAATATTTAGAGGCTGCCTATAAGTATTCTTAGTATAGAAAGTCCTATTGTTACAGAGCAACTTCTTTAAATATTCATGATTTACTACTCAAAATATTCTCTGAATTTCAGCTTCTTCAGAGTCTTTTCCACATAGCAGGCAGGCCAGCTCATTTGGCTTCTCAGACAGCATTATGGAAACCACACACAGTCCTTTCAGCATTTTTTCTTTCTGTTTATAGCAGAGGATAAAGGATCATGTGCTTCTCCTGCAGGATAGCACAATGAGCTGAATATTGGACTACAAAGTTTAAAGTGCCAATCATCTCTAAAATCTATTCCTTCAAAGCCTGTTGTGACAAATCAAATAAAAGATACTGTTTTAAGTGTGGCAGAAACAGGTTAGATAGGCACTTTGAAATTTTTCCAAATTCATCCCAAATGCTTACAACATCTCCCTTCTGGCCTTTAAGTCCAGGGGTCCCAAGTACTCCTAGTAGGCTTGTATCGCTCTGGAAAGAAATATCATCACAAAGATCAAAAACCAGAAAACGTCACCATTCACTTTCAGGAACAATTTATTTACCGCAACGAGTTCTTGCAATTTACCAGTATGTCAATTCAGAAGTCCTAATTTACTACTAGAAAGTGATAATAAATGCCTATGCAGTACAACTAGGTAATGCATTGGAGCAACTCATCCTTTATGGTACATTCATACTCCAGCCAGATTAGCAGAACAGGAACAAATGCATAAAAGGAAAATGAACATTGCTACGCAAATCTGTGATTTTTTTTTTTTAAACTCAATGCAAAGTACGAATTTTTATGCTCATTGTTACAGAACATTCCTCAAGTATGTTAGAAAATAATAAAACCCACTTCTTTCCTATGACAAAATGACAAGCTTTTTTACTTTTGAGAAGCATGAAATATAAAAGAATGTAGAACTAATTTAAGTCTACTACAGTAGTGAGACAGAAGGAGTGGGAATGAACATGGTCAACAGGCTCCTCAGACTGCTCCTCCAAAAAAACAGAAAGATGTAAAGACCAGAGGTTCAGGTTGTATACGTGCTCAGGCGTTTAGTGCACTGCATTTATTTACTCTTCTCTACAAGGTAAAGACACAATAAAATATAAAGCAAATTATTTCCTTTTCACAAAGTCAGACCCAGACTACCTACAGGGAACGTGTTTTCTTTTAACAACAATGCTAAAAGAAACAACAACAACAAAAAGGTCCTGAAAAATGAGCACCCATCTAGACCCAAGGAATCTAAAGCCTAGAACATTTACCACTGGGTTGAATGTGAACCCTTGGTAGGCCAACTCTCCTTGCCATATTCCAGTTTCCATACCTCTAAAATGGAGGAACATCATGATGAAAAAGCATGCCATTTGCACTCTGCTAATATTTTCAGAAGTAGGTAACTGAATATAAAATGAATAAAATCAGTTTACTAAAATCATTATTGATTTAGAAATGATAATGTCCCGATGGATTTTCTTAGGTACTTAGGGTTTGTAAACACTATTGGTACACTAATTATCAAAATCAGCTTCAGAGCAAGAGGCAGATACCCAGATAAAGGAACCTGAGTATTGCTGAGAAGCAGTTGACTACCACTGGAGTGAGAACAATCAGATGTCTGTTATTAAGAGTACACTATAAATTATGATTTATACTGAGTTGTGCATTTCTTATGCATACATGAAGGGGAAAAAAAAAGAAGCTATTAGATCAAATAACTACTATCATGGTCTTTGCATATTCATAGATAATTTGCTCTTTACAACAAAATGTAAGTAAAATACATCAAAAAAAAAAACCTTAGAAAATAATTATTCCAAAATAATCTAAAATTACTATGAATTATAATTATTCTGAAACATTTCCTGGAAAGATTGTGATATAGTTTCAATTTCTTTGTGTTTTGGTTCAATTTTTATTTTTATGTGTTGTAGAACATTTTAGATTAAACTGATATGTATGCCCCTTCCAAAGATGTTTAGAGGCGAGTTTGACTAAAGAGACCTTTTATTTATGTGTGGGAAACTGATAAGTAAAAAAGATGACGGAGGCCCTGAAAGCCCAGGCAAAGGATGATAACAGAGGCCTGAGAGTATATAAACTCAAAACATGAGGCATTGTTTACCAATCACTGAAGGAATGTAACCTGCAGTACAGGGCAGAACTTGTTTCTTGGCAAAAAAAAAGAGAAAAAATTGCATATATTGAACACATGAAAAGCACGTCATGTACGCTGAAAGTGCAAAGCACATAACAAGAAGGAATATAAAAATAGTCACATGCCTTGCAAGAACAGGTACAAAGGAGGAATGAGGGAAGAAATGCTCCAGCACTGTCTCCCAACCCATTAAGGATCAATGCTACCACTTATCCTCAGCAGGTTCCCCTCACCTTCATTAAAGAAAGATTGCTGATCTTGGTTTGCTGTTCATCACAGTTTGCTGCTGCGATCAGCAATTGTATTTATAGTGCTCTCTTTCACTGTATACATGGATCAAGTACATTACGCTTTTAAAGACTTGCACTCCAGACTCCTAGCATGAAAAAGTGATTGATACCAAGCCAGAAGAACCTTGGTTGCAACAAATTATTTAAATATATCATGCAAAAAACAACTACTTCTTGATATCATACAGAACTCAGAAGAATGGCAAATAATCTGCTAAGAAACAGAGAAATTAGAAAAAAATTTTGACTCTAGGAGGTTCTGAACACACAGTTACAGAAATTGTGTGTATTTAGAACCTGCTGCTTGAATCAGAAAGCCATCTTCTCTTTCATCTGGAATCAAACAGTATTTCCTTGTTGAACAGTTAATTGCCTGTGACAGAGTCATTAAAGCTTTCGAACTAGACAGTTGAAGGAAGAAAAGTTGTTAAGGTGTACAGGACTTGAAAGACAATTAATTTATAGGCACGTAGCAGCTGATCCAACTTTTTTCCAGAATATTGTTAATTAGGAAATATAAGCCAGCTTAGAAACACTTAGAGTCCTACAATGATAAGAAAAATGATTTTTTTTTTTTTTTTTTAGGCAGAAGATTACCAGTTCCAGAAGATCACCACTGCTTATATTTACTCTTGCAGAACAACCTTAGAGGTACTATCAGGATAAAATAAATTCATGGTGCAGAGGTGGGGAATGAGTTACAATAAATATGGTATTGATAGAGGAAACAGGGCTGGTATCAGGGAAAGCTCCTTGGTGGGAAAAATTAACTGGTAAGAGAACCAAAGGTGTAAAGTGAAAATATAGAAAACTTCAACACATAAATTTTAAATGGCAAACCCACACCAGGAACTAAGTCTCCAGGCATGAAATTTTCCCATGCTTAATTCCTAATATATGTTTCTAAGGTGAGACACCGATTTGAAATGAATTAAATGTCAGAAATAATAAAGAAATCTCTTCAGTGACAAAAACAATCGAAAAGATATATATGACCTGAACTTAGCTCCAGAATATCTATTCAAGAAAAGATTTTTAGTACTTGTCTAGAAATGTTATATAAGAGAATACCCTGAATTCACCTGCTCTTCATAGTTATATTTCTAATATTTAAAGAAATGGATGCTTCCAGGCTTGACCTTCATGACTTAAGGTGTGATACACATATTAGCCTTTATATTGAACAAATACTGCTGTAGTAAGTGCTTCATAAGTTTTTGAATTAAATGGAATTTTCCGATCAGATAAGTTAACTACTCCGGCATCAATTAAGCAAACTTCTGTGATCTCTGCATTATGGTCTTTTCCAACGGTAGACACTACGACTTTGAAATACCTGTCGAAAGTATTTAAAAGTTCTGTCATGTGGAACACTATCTTATGCAGTTTTAACTTTTTTTTTTTTTTTCTATTAAGTGCTTTTAGCTGCAAGTGGTTTTATAATTAAGACAATCTTTTTATGAGTCTATATTACAAACATAAGGACAGTTCTCACGGATTGCTAGCAGATCTTTTCAAAATTATGCCTTGTTTTTCTATTTTAGTCTTAGAATCATGAGAGAGTAGGTGAAGAAAGTAATGTCCAGAACAGCCTGGAGCAACTAGTTTTAGAAGTGGGGAGCTGATGCTTCCTACTAACATCTCTGTGGTCCACCCACCTGCTTTTTGAGTTACACCAGTCAAAAATAAGTGAGTAGAAGATGGATGGGATGCAAGACAGCAAGATAAATGACACAGTAGGTATTTGACTGGAGTGAGGCCTGAGCTTGTAAAGGGATGCAGAAAGGGAACACAGAAGGAACTACTTTTTGGATTAATTTGGAATGTGGTTTGCAGGGATCAAAACTGTGGTCATTTCTACCTTAGATACTTCTTAGTCATAAACCCACACGGACACTATAACAAATCTGCATACCTCATTATAATGCTTGTTCCATGAATCCAGAATTTCTTCCAGTCCAGAAGGACCCTATATGGAAAAACAAGTATCAAAAAGTCATTTTAATTTAACTAAGTTTATGTTTGCATAACTGTGTTCAAAGAGCAGTGGGGTCGTAAAAGAGTTTAGATTTTTGTTTGGTGATACAGTAAATTATATTCTGTAACTTCATTATACCTTTTTATCAGGCACAGAGGAGGAGGAAAGTCAGTTTCTAAATCTCTGAGTTTGGAAACCAGTAACTTATTTTGAAGTGAATGATCTGTCAGAGAAGGCAGTAGTGACATCCATATCAATTTTAATATGCAGCATTTTAAAACTCTTTCCACTAAGTCAAAGAATGGGGTGTGATGTAGAAGCAGCTCCTAGTGTGAGTGAACAGGCAAATTTTTTAACTTAAGAGTACAGAAGGTGAAATTGAGGAATGCCAGAAATCTGCAGAACACTAACTTCCTAGTTTTATTAGCATTGCAAGTTTGCACTTAAACACACATCTTTAATCAAGAAATTCAGCAATGGAAAAGGAACTTGCTACTCAAACACAGGCTGAGGGTGGAGAGATTAAAAAATATGCTTGCAAAAAAACATTTTTGTACATTAAACCCCACATTTTTTGGCATAGCCTTCCAAAAAACAGGCCATCAATACGATTTTTAAGTTTTGTAGAAGAGAGCAGAACACTGACAGTTCAGTCAAGATCTTATGAATTAAAACTCAATGAATTTACACATTAGCACAGTTACTCTCTAAGTTGACATTTTCACATAATGCAATAAGAACTACAGCCACTCACATGCCTCTAGGAAACATTTTACTTCAATAATAAGATTACAATATACTTAAGTAAGTCACTGTCATGGGTGATTGACCTGGATGTAACACAGACAGGGCACAAAAGCAGCTCTCCTTCTCTGGGGTTTTTTATAGTCACACTTTACATTCTGCAGCTTTTGTTTTAGTGGGGACATTAGGAAGATTTGGAAGCCACATGAAACACCACAGGTGTCCCAATCCCTCTTTGTTCCCAAAATCGGAAGAGATACAAGGCCATAAATCCTTCCATTCATGGTATTTTGAAGGGAATTGTCAGGTTTATGTTAAAAATAAGATAAATATAGTCAAGATGTTTTCACTGAGATGCTCACTCCACTCTGATTTCCAAAGTTAATGGCAGAATTTTTACTTTGATGTCCATATTAAAGATGGCAATCCAGAACTGGGACTGAACTGTGGTGACACTGCTAAGATTTCTGTTTCAACACTGTTATCCTGTAGCGTTGAATCCTTGAACCGAGTGTCCTTGCAGGATTCTGCAATCCTGCATGGAGTCAAAAGTAAGAATTTAACTCTCCCTTTGCATTTGCTACCATGTTCCATGTTGTTTCTTTTACCCAAATGAAACTGCTTCTGCCACACAACCCAGGAAGAATTTTGAAGCTGTACCTGCCACCAACCTCAACCTGTCAGAAATGATGACAAAATGAAAAGCCACTGTACATCATAGTTTTGAAAAAAAGACATAACCTCCAACACCCCTGCCCCCAAACTGCCTCATGACTAAGACGGTCAAAGAGAACTTCAGGCATTTGGGTTGTATTCCTGACTATGCCACAGCTTTTGTCTTACCAGAGATAAACAACCTCTGGTTTTAGTATTTCTGTTGTCAAAAATTGACATAAATTAAATAATTTTATCTTTCCGTCATTCTTTCTATAATAAAACTACAACAACACCATATTAAACAAATGTACAACAGAAAATATTTTTATTCTAGGCTTTTTCCCTAAACTTTCTTTACTTCCACACTGTTCCACTCCATTAATATAGTCGCACAATCCTCTCTGAAGTCTCTACAGACCAAAAACCCCAGAACAGGAGCATTGGTTTGCAAATGAAGAAGCAATCAAATTAACAGCAATTGAAGAATTATTGTACAAGCAGTTTCTAGCTTTTGCATGAGAATTTTGCACATCTGCCACTTTGAAGCTCACTTGAGCAGGGTTTCCTTTTTCTTTTTTAATACCAAGTTGTGTAATTGAGAGGAGCAAAGCGCACAGAGAGTACAGTTGTATGAACAAGAAAAGAACTGAAAAAGTGTCCTGATTGTTTTCTGAAATTACAAACAGGTTTCAGATGTTATTTCTATAGGCAAGGCAGGAATAGAAACACAGGTGCTTAAAGGGAAATAGCTCCAAACTGTGAAATTACAGGGGTTTACAATATATTTTCCTCCCTTTACTTTTATAGTTCATCTGCATTTCTGTATGGATGAGACTGTTGAAAAAGTCTACCCAGTCTCACATTCCACACAGTAAAACGCGTAACAAGTAAATTGCACTGGTTATATCTCAAGAATAGGCCATTTTAGAGAACACAGCCTGCAAGTGACTCAGTGCAATCACTGTGTCCTTTTATTTTGCATTGGTGCCTGCCCCTTAAAACAAGATACTGTTTTTCTGATTACTATAATGCAAAACACTGCGAAACTCATCAGTGCAGATGTGCAATATTGTATAACTATTCCAAAGAGCAAATGGAAAGAATGATGAAGGCATGATGTTTGCCACAATAGCACACATGAAATAAATTACATTTTGATATGGATAAAAAACCTCAATGCATAGAAACAAGCAATATGACCAACCCTTGCCAACCATTCCCATCCTACCATGTAAGCATTTCCAATATTCTTCTAAAAAGCAGCTGAAAGTCCAGGAAAACCAGAAATGCTGCTGACAATTTTCACTTATCATTGCTTTGATTTTCTGTTTATTGTAATTAAATGATAACATTCACTCCCTTTCAAAACATTGGTAGAGGAATGACAGTATTTCCTGAGGCAGAGGAAATGAAATTTCCAAGGCAAACTGCTGGCTAGTTAAGATAACTGGTCTAGTGGCAATGACATATGTATTGAATCACAAGACCAAAAGGATATGTAATTAAATGAAGAAATTAAAGTGAAATTTTCTACTGCATCAGATGCAACACAAACAAAATTGTAGCTCTATTTTAATTTAAGACTTTAACACAAAGTTAATCTCCCAAGCAAAAATACTTAAGAAGATAAAAGATATGAAATTCAGCCCCTTGAAAAAGTATGATGAGCTTCACGGGCTAACAGCAATCATGAAATAAATTTATTAAATCTATTGGTCGAAAACAATACCTTTGGATGTGATGGTTTAAGAGAATGAATAATTGTGATTATAGTTTACTAGCCCATGATTTAGCACACCCAAAATTTCTTTTCCACTTCTTCAACAGATAGCTTGGGCAAGATGGCACTTGGCCAAAACAGGTAGACCTCAAGTTTCCTACCTCTAAAAACTAGTGCTGATAGCACTTCACTTCTGCCAAACAACAACACTGGGCAGAAGTCATACTCAGACTCACCTCAAAGAATGCTGTTATACTGGTGGAAGTCTGGAGCACAACTCTAGTTTAGCACTCTTTTAATTTTAAAAATAAGCTCATGTCTCACTAAAATGGGAGCTCTTGAGAAATGGAATTCCTCCAGTCATAACAGCTCAAGTAGAGACAGAGAAAATTAGGGCAGAAAAGATAAATTTAGCTTTCAATGGGAAAACAAGTAAAACTCCTTTTTCTGTCCTCTATCCCATCTATGTAAATAGAAATACCTGCTGATTCATTGTAAAGTAAAAATAAATAAATAAAACCACATCCTCCCCAAAAAATCCAACCTCAAAACCTCCCCCAACTGACCACAATATGTAAAACAGTGCCGGACATCAGGCAGCTATCTTCTACGTAGAACAAATAGAAAAATAAATTATCTCCTCTAAGCAGAACTCTACACAAAATGAGGCAGGTAGTAATTCTTCAACCCAAGACCAGAAAAGCACTTTTGCCTAAGTGAAGGCTGCAAAATTTGGCCTTTCCACCCTGAGGCTGAGAATGCATAAATACTAAGTTCAGATACATTCCACACGATACTTTGCAGGTGACTGAGCACTGGAACAGATTGCCCAGAAAGACTGTGGAGTCTCCCTCACTGGAGACATTCAAGAACCATCTGGACTCAATCCTGTGCAAAATGCTCTAAGAAGACTCTGCTTGAGCAGGGAGGTTGTGTCACATAACCCGCAGCAGTCCCTTCCAGTCCTACTCATTCTGTGATTCTGTCATTTGCTTTTAAGTAATGAGAAAAAAAAAAGAAAAAAAGTGTGGTAACTAGAAAGCCATTATACATAATTCAAAACAAGCTGCGGTCTGCTGGGAACCCTTTCTGTGTTTCTAAGTCCTGTAGTCTTTTTATTAGCAGCTATGGCAGAAGAAAGCAATCAACGCAGTTCTGCAATCTGATCAAAATGCCGTAGTTAAAACCTCACAGCATCCTATTAGTATTTCTTTTTGTTTCGTAAAATCAGCATTTCAATTTCAGTGAAGAGCCATGCTGAGCAGGATAACAGCACGTGAATCAGACAGTCTCTTTTTCAGAAGACTTTAGAAGAAAATGGAAGCAAGCAAATATATAAAATACATTTGAAGGGTACAGAGATTTTGATTTCACAATGCTTCCGAGATTGAAGTGAATAGTGTATTTAACAGAAGGTTTAAACTGTTATCTAGGCTCTTTTAAAGTGGAGAAATGGCCAAAAAAGCACTAGAGGGAGCTGCTGCTTAACTAAACCCGTTTGGATTCCTGTCTTCAGCACAAATTGGTACCTGCTAGAGTGAAAGATATTGTGAGTACACATCCCGGCTCTCCTGTACTGAAATAACAGAACAGTACATCAGACAGCAAGGATGCATACCAGGAATTCTGAAACAGAGGGAAATAAAATAACACTTGAAAAGTCTATAATATTTAATAGACTTTAAACAAATACTCAAAGGGGGAACAGACCTGGATAGGTTTAGAAAAATATTTTTATGATTGATCAGTAAAAATCCTCATTGACTCCTTGGCTTTTGTGAGCACAGGATTTGCTCCAAAGGGAGGAAAAAATACATTAAAGAAAGGATAAGGGAAAAATGACACAAATGAAAGGATACCTGGAAGAAAT